GCCAAATGTTTCTGGAGGAAGGGGGTCTGATGCAATTAAACATGTCATTTTTGAGGGACAGATTTATGTTATTGCATGTTAAATGTACATTACAGTCTTTCATATGCAGTAGAAGAGATGCTTAACTTATAAACAAGTTGCAGGCAAGAAGATATTCATACAACAGTTTGAAGTTGATCGAATCATTTGTGTGCATCCACTGTTCTCGGATTGTGAAATCTGAACTACTTTGAGGCAGCTGAGAATAACTCAAATGAAAATAAAAATTAGCCACACTTCTACGTGAAGAAGCCATGTAAGAGATCATTTCAGCAAGGATGCGCATACAGCTCTTGAAGGGCATCTTCTAAAGAGTTCAAGAGTAAAGTACTGCTCAGGGTTTTGTCAGTTTGTAGAGAAGAGAGTGTTGCTTTTAGCAGCCGTTCTTATTCACACTGAGTAATTTGTTACTCTGTCACCAGTCTCACTGAAAGGGATAGAATTGCTTCTGAAGAACTAGAGGTGGGTGGAAGAGCAGTATTCACCCCTCAGTGGAAAGTGGTATATATATGGATACTGGGAAATGCATTTAGATACTTACCTTGGAGAGAGGAAAACTTACGTAAAAGTTTATGCTAGTAAACATGTAATGAGCAACTACAGAAATTAAATTGGTGGAAGGGTATAAAGAGAAAATAAATAAAACTGGTAGCAGCTGCTATATTAGGGGCTTAGATTTGTTGAAAGCATGGGTTTATGTTACTTGAGAAATACTATAAGCCTGCTAGCTTAAGCAAGAATTGTGAACTTTTAATTGAAGACTCTGTCAGGATGCATGGGCATAAAGGACCAAAATAAGGTCACATATGTTACCCTGATTCTGGCAGTTCCTAACTCTGCAGCCTTAAACTATTTTGTCTTTGTTAATGTAGTGACCAAAAGCTCACGTGACATTTCACAGAAAATAAGAGTAGAACTGTAGTTGTGAAGTGTTTGCAATCTAAATTTATATGTCATAGCAGGAGCTAGTAGCAAACAGTAGGGGTAACTGCAAAAAAACATACTGCTAGTGCTTAGGTAGCTGTGGAAACCATAGTATGTTCCTAAAAGTAGGTAGGAGACCAGAATTTAGGCGGATGTACTACAATTATAATGAAGCTGGGAATCTAGCTGTGACTACACTGAATGCACATCTTTGTGCAGTTGGATTTGTTATGGTTAAGTCGTAAAGGACATGCACAGATTTGTGAAGATGCTGGCCCAGGCTTTAACAACTTGAATCAGTTCCAAATTTACTAACAAATTTTCTTTTGATAAGTCCTCTAGGGGCAGATTTTTCAAAGGCACTGAAAAAAGTAAAGATACAGTGAGGCACTTCCCAAAATTGAAAATCTTTATGGGCAACTCTGGATGCCTCAGTTTCCCACTTGGACAGTAGATTAGTTGTTTGTCATGTACTCATATTGTTTTTTTATCTTGATAAGTTCTTTAAGGCTAATCTCCTTTATGGATTTTCAGTGCCAAGTATAAAGGGTCCCAGATTTTGGTTTGGACTCTAGGTTAAATTTTGTTGCAATTTCTTCCATTACAGAAGGCGACTTACTGTCCTCATTATGTATTAGGGAACCTTTACTTTCTTGGACTGTTTGAACTCTTGTGTATCTGCTTCCTTAAGGGGAGTTGTTTCTCATAAACTAAATGCTAAGGGTTTATGTCTTTGATTGCAGCAAAGGCTTCCCTCTTGCCCCAAATTACTTTTCAGAGATCTGTGAATGGAAGTATGAATTCCTTACCTAGTGAATTGATTGCATAGAATATTATGGCTCTCATGACATTCACTTTGTTTCTTTGCTGGTTTATGTATGTTGTATGCCTTTTTTTGCATACCATGCTGCTGCAGTTTGTCATACAGTGCAAGAATACTTCTGGTTAACCTGTATGTGGTGCCAACATTCAAATTAAAAGAAAGTTGAAGGAACCGTGTGGTCTGTTGACATCGTGGCAATAGTATGTGTAGTGAAAAAACAGGCCCTTGGAAGATTGTATCTGTATCATCCAGACTAACATTATAAAGTGGGTAAGAAGTTACAAGGTGAAACTGTAGCTCATTAATTCCATTGGGAATTCTGTGAGGATTTAAGCTACAATTTTCACCTTTAGGAAATTACAACTAAAAGGGGGTACTCATGCAGAGAGACTGGCAAGTGGAGAATCTTGACAGCTATATACATTTTTAGACTGTTAAAGGTGCATTTCTTTCTATGGACACATCTATGTCCATTAGCACAACAAATTGAAGGATCTGAAAAAGTAGCTCTGAATTGCAGTCCATTATGATCAAATTAGGAATTCAGTATCAAGAAGTTACTGTCAAGAAAACATTGGAAGGTATGCAAATTATATAGCATAAAACATTTGTGAGAGGTGTAACTTACATAGTAATAGATTAAAAAATAAAGGAAAAAAAAGAGGAAAAAACCCTTTGTGTAAAACTCAGAAAGAGGGCCTGCATTCTGTGCCACTTGAAACAGTTGTATCCTAGCAATTCTAGGTAATAATAATAAACATAATGAGAGTTAAGATACAGTAGTTAAATGAGCCATAAAAATGAAGAGTCCATAATTTGTATCGTATTGTGTCAGGTTATCGGATTAAAATAAACTAATGTTTGCACTTATTTGTATTTGGGAGAAAATGAAGTGTAGCTGTTTGACTGGTGCTACATACATTCCATCCTGGAATGAAAATCGCATTGTTTTGACTGCGTTATTTCTGTATCCATGCAAACCATCCTCATCACTCTATAGTTCTTTCCTCTTTAACGTGACCGGGGTTGTGTCATTTGAAATTAGTGGGTATAAGGCCCCTTGGAGCAATAAAGAGAGGCAATGATTTGAAAAAATGAAATGCAGCAGTCAGAGTTAAGAAGAAAGGGCATTTTCCTGGTAAATGTTTTCCTAAATGGGAATTTTTCAGTGTGGTGTTTTGCTCATGTATTTGGCAGTCACTTGGAATCAAGTGCAGACTTGTGCTACATTGTGGGCTTGGCAATGACAATTTGTGTGTGTGTGGTGCTTTAGTTATATTAGCCCTGGAGGCAGAGTTAACACTTGCAGTGGGACAAGAGTATTTGCAGTCATCAGAGAACTTTGCAGTCAGCTTCAATAACATCACTCCATTTTTTTCACTTTTTTTTTTTTAACATTTTTTTTGGCAGCAAAGCTCTTAGTAGAACCATCTGTCTTTCTATTAGTGTTTTTGAGTCCTGTTTTGAAGCTTCTTTGCTTGGCAAAGTCACTTTCATCCTTGGAAACCATTTAAAAAAAAAAGTTCTGTGGCTTTTTGCCGAAGAAGAGTACTATGCAAAAATTCCACACGGCTGTTCATTTTTGTTCTAAAAGAATACAGTTACTTTGTCTTTGTCTTTAAAAAAAAAAAAAAAAACCTAAAAAAAAAAAAAGCCCAACAAACAAACAAACAAAAAAACCCAACCAAAAAAAAGCCCCACAACACACACATGAAGAAAAAGCAAGCATTGGGCAGTTCTAGGGTGAAAGAGTAGGGGTAGAGAACAGATCACATTTTACATGTTCTTATTTCTCCAGCGAGTCAATTAAAAGTACGTATGTCTTCTTGTTAACAGGATCAGAATAGAAAGGAGAATACTGAAGTAAAAACAAATGGATCAACTTATTTCAGTGAATGGAGCTACATCTACTCTAGCTTCAGTCCCAGTCTTAATTTTCCACTGTAAGAATTTCCAGCAACAGGGCTGCAGTCAGCATTCACACAGGTGTTGACAGGTCCTGGCATAAGTTAAGAGGTTACCAGCACAAATTTTTTATCACCCTTCTGCTCTGTAACAGCATTGGGTGAATCAAGACATCTGCTGGATCTTCAGGAGATTAAAGATGCTGTGTTCTGAACTGTGGCAGCCAAGGAGGTGGCACAGGTTCTCCTTTGCCAATTCTGCAATGCAGGCAATAATAAAGGGAGCAATACCTTCTTACACCTCTGGCAAAAAAAAAGGTTGTCTATCAATACCCTAATTCTTCACGTTCCTTAAAAGCTACAGAGCACAAAACTGAATTTTAGTCTTTGATAACACTACCCCGGATGCCTCAGTGTTACAGTGCCATTAAAAATCTAGATGACCTCTCTTAGAAACTGAGTCAGTCTCCCTTCACTGATTGATATGGTCAGTACAGTGGTTTTTTTTTTAATTAAAACTACCCATTTAACATTTTAATCTTGCCAACTTTTTTTTTCTCATCTGCGTGAAATGCAAAGTCGATGTCCATTGCTAGTAATTAAAACGCCGACAGAACTGGGTAAAAGCAACAGTATTAGACATTTTGCCATGGCCAACTTCCAGTTTTGATGACTAATTTCTGCATGTCTTAAGTCCCCTGTAGTATCCACTTACAATATAATATTTTCCATTTCCTGACTTGCATGGTTGTGTACAGTTGCTGTGCAGAGTTGAACAGCTAACACTTCAGACATAGCTGTGTTTTACTTGTGAATAAAGTGTCTCAGCATTTTTCTTACCATCTCAGAGACTTCTCTTTTCACATGTACAAGTGCATGCATGCATATGGGCAGAAAAATAGTACCAAATGTACTTATGCACATACTTATTTGTACTTCTGAGTGTGTGGATCTTTGTGTTCGGGCTCAGTCAGGGTGAAAGGTACTGTCTGAGACAGAGATACTGTTACACAGTGCAAGAAAAAAGCCACCCTGCAGTCAAAAAGAAGTGAGGCATTATGGAATCACAGGGGAAATCATTAATTGGGATATGCATTAGTGGCATATTTTGATCTATTTTGGGCTAATGTAATTCATATGAAGTGCTTTGGTATTTAGAATGAGTTTGAAAAGTTGATGCTACTGGAACACCCCATTATGGAGGAGCATATTCAAACCTAACCTCTCAGCCCGGAAGTAAGAGAAAGCATTTAAGCAGATATTTTCCCCCAGAAAAAAATTCTGTGTTTGATTTTCCCTCTCCTGTTCAGCAGGTCCAGGGTCAGCTGCCTCCATTAATGATTCCCGTATTCCCTCCAGACCAACGAACCCTAGCAGCAGCTGCACAGCAAGGATTTCTTCTTCCTCCTGGTTTCAGCTACAAAGCGGGATGCAGTAAGTCCTGTAGATTTTTTAGCTGGAAGTGGGTATAGGGTACAATTTCATGCCCATCTGTTTAAAGATATAACCTCTAGCCCAATGAACTTGCACAGATAACTGTAAAATAGAGGATTAGTCATTATTGTATGAGAAAAGGTTGTCAGAGATAAAGTATGTGTTTCAAAGTAACATCAGAACATCTCACACAACAAGTAGATTTGTGCACCTTCTTTCTGACAGATCTTTTTGACAAGTGAACATGCTCATGACCACACATGCATACATTCATCAGAAAAGAAGCTATTTGAAACTTCCCAATAAATTTCAACACTGTTGTAAGAAAAAGCATGTTTTTTCCTGAAGCAGCCTGCTTACTATTTGTGAACTGAGGGCCTATTCTTGTCTCTTCACACAAAACTCACATTAATCTCAACGGGGGTTCTGCACAGAGATCAAAGATAGCATATGCCTTTCAGTATGATGGACTAACGCAAACTATATTTATGAGAGCCTAACACTAAAAAATATAGCATCTACTTTTTTAATCTTTGAAAGATTTGTATTGTTCTCCACCTTGCCCAGATTTTTTTTAATTTTATTTAAGCCTTATATAGGATTTAATGTTGCTGTCATCAGGATGATAATAAATACAAGTTAAGGAATAAACAGGGAACTCTATTTCCATGAATAGATTTCACTAGAGCATGAATTCCATAGCCTTGTTTTCTTGCATTTGTGCTTGTATAAGTCTTCTGACATCAGTTTTGAACTGAGTTATTTAGGAGTCACTTATTCTACTCTTCTCTGTCTCTAGCGTGGATGTTTAGCTTTATTATGTCCATGTCAGTGTATCCATCTGTACTGTTGACTAACTCATGAATTCATCAGGTTTCTTGAGGTACTGAGCACTTGGTGCTGCAGCAGTTTCATAAAATTAGAACAGGAAGATTCCTTTAGTTAAACTGGCTTAACCCACGATTTCAGATTTCTTCAGTTTCTGCAATGTTGTAGATACAGTACTTGAATGCAAACTTGAGTTTCTTTGGCCACTGATCCCTTTTCCTAATATTTTATAGGCTGGCACCACTGCTGAAAATTAGTCTTCAAAACACCTAACATCCCTCAGCAGCTGCAGTGCCAAAGCACAGGCTCATTCAGTTCTTCCAGTGATTTCACACTCAGTCTCCTTCAAATGGGAGAAGTAATGATTCACATTACAGAATGTTTAACTGAAAGCCACACTGAATATGAATGCTACCATAACTGTAGGCCTGGAAAAGGTCAGGAAAGCACCCTGTTTGATATATCTGGCAGATGAAATTAGTTCCATGTTACTGAAGTCTGGTTTGTATAGAAAGAGTTGAGGTTGTTTTTTTCCCTTCTTTTTGCTGCTTGTACATTAACTGTAAGACAGTCCTGTAGTTCCTCGCATCCATGAAGTATATATGACCTTGCGTGTTTGTGTAACCTTGAAAATGAAAGAGAGTAAAGTTGCCGCTGCTCCTGGCAGTAAGGCTTGGAATCAACAGCATGAAAAGGTCTAGGGCTGAGCAGAAGCCGGGGGAAAAAGACAGCTCTGTGTTTGGTGATTCCCTGGCATGTTTGACTGAATTTAACTGAGAAGCTGAGGAAAAGTGATAAGTAGTCCAAAGGATTTTTTCTTTTCACTCACAGTTTAGTATAAACAAAAAAGCATATACAGATTTAGCTACACCTAGAAAGCTTGTAGCAATGAAAGACATAGCTGCCCTAAATCTATAACATCAAGTAATGTTTTTGACAGGCCATTAAAACATATTTCTCCCAGTTTTCTGCTTGCGCTTCTGTGTATCAGTCCGCTTGGCAAAGATGTGGTAGACTGTAAACTAGAGCTTTGGATAAAATTTTCTAAAGCACCTGAGTGATTTAGGAGACTAAGGCTTCACTGAAGAGTGACAAAAGCACTAGGATCTAAGCCTCAGGGATATTTAGCAAATGTTTGTATGGTAAACTTTATATGCTTGCTTGAATTGAGCTTAAATGGCTACCAGCATAGCACTGCAATAGGTAACTAGATCTCTCGTCATTTGTGCTGTTGGTCACACCTGATGACTGGGTTACTTGCCACCTTCTGTCTGCACGCCAAGTAGCTGTAGAGAGAACTGTTCAGTTGCTCATGACTTTGCCTCTAGCTTCTGACATGGTGGCCGAGATTCTTGATTAAGCTCTCCCTAACTTGCTTCTGCCCAGGCTGGGATAGAAAAGACTTTCTGTTAAAATTGCTTAAACTGAACTGGCTCATTTTAATGGAAACATGTTGGGAAGTGATTAAATAAGCAGCTTGGTCACAGTGGTAACTTTTGGCAACAGGCTGTGGTTGGAGATGGTGGCCTCTTCAGCCAGCACAGCTGCAGCTGGAAGGGAATGTGTGATCAAGTCAGTGATCAAGTCATGAGGTCAGTGAAAGAGAAAAAATGATGAGTTAAATGATGAGTACCTGGTTATACTGCTGTTTTTCTTTCATTCAGCTTAGATAATGAAACCAGTCTTATTCAGTGCTTTCTGATTCACCTGTCTGCGTTAGAGCAACAGAGGATCAAATGTATGTCTCCTAGTGGTTTCAGAGAGTGTATGTGCTAGGATTCCTCAGCCAATGCTTCTAGTGGACTAATGACTTATCCAGAGAGAGACTGTGGAACGGAAGAGTACTGTTTTCTCTACACATACTTCCTTTTATGAGGATTTGAATGAAGATAACACAAAAATAATCATAACAGTTCATAGCAGGGGTCCATTTAGATTCCTGTCATGACAGACACCTAAAGAAGAGTAGAGGAACAGGGAAAGAGTATACGGATACTTTATCTCCCCTCACTTTGCCAGGTTCGAGTGGCTGGGGACTCAGGGACCTTCTGTCCCATTGATGGCATCACTGTGGTGAGAGCTATTCTGTCTGTTACTAAAAACAAAGAGGTTTCTCTGTTTGGATTCCTACTTGATTGGAAACATTCTAAGCACCTGAAATGCTCAAAAGAATACAGCGGTATCAGTTTCTAATATGTGCAGAGGAAATTATCCACTGACACTTCTCAAAAAATTTTCAAAATCAGGTAAATACAGGGAGGGCAGGGGTAAATATTTTCTCCATAGTTAACATGCCAGGTCATGGTCTCTGGCTTCCAATTTGATGAAGTAAATTTCTTTTTCTTTCTTTTTCTTCATAGCGGATCATGCTTGGGAGTGGCTTGTTTTTTCATTTTGTTTTGTTTTTTTAAAACAGATGGTTTGCATTACATAAGGGACAATTTACACAAGTTGACACTTCCCCTCTTTTCTCTATGGCATATTGTGTGGTGGTAAAGTTGGCAGAGAAAGAGGGAGGAACTTCTATTAGGATTACATATCTATTTGAGAAAAAGATTCATAATCTGTGATTGATTTTTAACCCCACACCTAGATATAATTGCATGGTGTGTAAAATATTTAATACGGTTATTTGCAACCAGAGTGTATTTTTCACATGAGAAAAGTAAGTTGGCAATATGTCATGGACTATATTGTCCACAATTAGCAAGAAAAATACTGATTACCTACTTATTTGCTACATACCTCATTATCCATTCACTAAGTGCTATTTGGGATTTAAGTATTTTGATTTTTGTGCAAGTCTCTTTATATGTGTTTTATTATATATATAATATGTAATATTTTTATAGATGTATAATGCAAATCTCTTTATAAGGAGTTGATGTTTTGGAATGGAGTGTTAATTAAGTTGGTGACCTCTGGCGTGAGTAGGTGCTAGGAGTTGAGCCCAATATCCCAGGTATATGAATTGGTTTTAGCAGCAGGTGAGTGCCTTCTGTTTCAGCTGACGTTGAAACCAACCAGAGCCTGATACTGCATTTCCCAAACTGTGGCAAAGCTTGTCCCACATTTAGCCTATGCAAATTGGCTCAGGTCATTTAACCCTCCTTCTTTTATTCTCAGCAGCATTCCTTAATCCTGTCATTTGCTACTACTATTACTAGTTCAGCTCCTCTTGTGGTACTTGCAAGATAATATACATGACTCTCAGCATTTTAGCAATAGCAAGTGAAATGTCAGTTCTGTTGAGGTCTGAGGAGCTGTTGCTGTTGACTTCACTGAAGTAAGATTTCACACCAGATGATACAGATCGCTAGGGCCACTCTTAGAAATAATTAGAATTTATTTAGAACTAATTAATATTTGTGAAGTGCTTTGAAAGTATAAAAAACAGTGTAAGTGAAGAAGAGAAGAAATTTTCTATTGTGCCCTTAAAAAACTGCATAGTTCCACCTCAGAGGAGGCTGCTCTTCAGTTGTAGGTAGTGTGATCCTTTTATTAATGCACATATGTACAGATTTGTATGTGGAATATTAAGGCATGGTTGTCTCTCCTGTGTAAGAGTTAATAAAGGGAATGAAAGAAAGATTTGTGAAAGCAAAAAGGGCTGTTTCTGGGGTTCTTTCTATGGAAAAGGCAGAAGGAGTTAGGCTGAGAGCAGTGGTATTCTTCTACACTGTAAGTATCAGAATGCACCAGCACAGAATGCTTCCTCATGCTGCTTCTATTCTACAATTGCAACACTGTTTTACAGTTAGTTTTCCATTAAAAGACACTGAATAGCCCAAACTTCATAAAGAAGATGGGTCCTCCCCAATTAACAGTGCTAAGATTCGTTTTGGAAACTGCATTCCATCTCTTCTTTAACCATTTAATGATCGTATTAAAAAGGAAATGAAATGTTGATTAGCCACTTTACAGTAGTATGATGTCTTGGTCCTGAGGTTTTTCAGTATGATTGAAGCTGTTGAATTTGGTGACATGGTTTAGCGTGTGGTGTCCCTGCCCATGGCAGGGGCGGTGGAACTAGATGAACTTAAGATCCTTTTCAACCATAACTATTCTGTAATTCTATGAAGAGCAACATACTTTGTTTTCTAAACAGAGGTGTGCAAGAGATTGAATTTGCTTACTTTACTCAGATAACAGTAGTTACCAAGTCTGTGTTT